TGTTCTGTGGATCCATTTGTGTCTAGGTACATCCAGGGCTAGAACTGTGATCGGGGCAACCACTTGATTAAGTTTATGAAAATACAACCACTTTCTAAGATACACTTAGGTTTTCTACTTTTTCTGTGGGAATTAAGTAGGGGCATAATGGTTATCACCTCTCCCATTTTCAATTCTTTGATCAGGTGGCACTAATTTCTGCAATTCCCCCGGGGATGCAGTTTTCCTTCTGGTTTTCTATGCTTGTGGGGAAAGAAAATTCCAGGGGCTTATAGATAGCTTTCCCTACCACAATGGCCTCCACCCAATGGGTCAAAGAACCAGGATGGGGCGTCTGCCAGTTGTCAAGTCTGTCAACTCTTAAGTATAGGGAGCTATGCCAAGTGGGATTAGGAAACTGGGGAAATATATCAAGTGGGATTCCATCGATCAACTCATTATTCTTCCCCTTTACCTTGAATAGTGGGCCATTTCTTGGTCCCTTTGGAAAAGACTTGGAGGAAGAGTATGGTACCCACTTGCTAAGGGTACCTGCTTTTCCTTCCTTCATAGGGCTCTGGTGTGTGAAGTAGCTTAGGGCTAGAAACTGAGTGACCAGCCTTGATCATCTGTCCCATGTACCCTTCCCACCCTATCCCTCCCCTCTTTGTCACAGTATACCGCTTCATGTCCTTGGCATTTCCCATGGCCTGAAATTAGGTACTTGCTGAGCTGGGTAATGAGGGGAGGGGCCATCCCTGTCCTGTTCCCTAGCTGTATCCCTACTACCCACCCTAGCAATAAACATCCAGAACTATTTAGCCAATAACAATAGCAAACCCTTCAGGCACTGTTTTATTACATGCTTTGTATACACATTGGCTCACTGGTTCTTCACAACACTCTTCAGCAGTATGCACCCTTGTTCTTTTCATTTTACAGGTAGGGAAAATGAAGGCACAGAGAGCCTGAGTCACTCGCCCAAGGTCCTACTCTGGGGGTGTGTGTGTGTGTAAAAATCCAGGAAGTCTGACTCTACAGCTCCTACTCTTAATCACCAGGCCAAGGAAGGAGAACAGAAATCCTCACAACTGGACCAGCAGGCATTTGGTCAACAGAGAAAAGACTGACGAGGTCAGTTTCATTTCTACTTGGATCCATAATCAACACTCAGAGCAGCAGCAGTCAAGAAATCACACGGTGTGTCGACTCCTGTAAAGAGTTCCAGTCTCAGAAACCCACAAGGACAGTTCTTCTCTGTCCTACGGGGTGGCTAGAAGTCAGGATCAAGTCAGTGACAATGAGTCTGCACTTGCTCAGCATAGCTTCTCCCTTCCTGTCACTTCTACATGCAAACCATGGTTCGGCTTCCTTCCAGTCAAGAGCTGCCAGTTTGCGCAGGTGTGCTGCACAAGACCTCTTCAGAGTGTGAAAAACAAAGATGTCTCCTTTGAGGACCGACACATGCCTGACCCAAGCCACGGTATTTCCAACCACCTCCTAGGTACGTGACAGAACGACCAGGGAAGATGGGGCGCATGTGAACCGGGGTGTTGATGAAGAACAGTCAAAGTACTACAGGCAGCCAGAGAACAAACCACTCTGTCTTGGAGGAAGTACAGCCAGAATGAACCTTAGTGCTAGGATGACAGGACTCCATCTCTC